GACTGTGTGATACTGTTACTGCTCTCAGCCATCAGGCTTTTGTAAATCAAGTGGAGAATACTGCTGTGTTCCTGAATCCAGCTCGGGTTGTAGGTGTGCTGGAATCGATCTCTGAATTCTTTTTTCTAACTTATTGCAGCTACTTCATCAGTTCCAGCGTCTAAGACAGAGCCCTCTCCCTCCCTCCCTTCCGCTGGTTCTCTGCCTAGCGTGGTGTCCACTACTGCTTCGCTTCTGCCTTCAGCATCGCAGCACTCTGCAGCATTGCCCAGCTTGCCTCAGTCCAGTGATTTGGCCAGCAGCTCACTTTCCCAGTTAAGCAGGTACAGTAGGAGCTCGGGTAAATGGAAAGGAGCTGAATTTTGGGGAAAGTGCAAATGCAAGCATGGTTGTGCATGGGAACTTAAGCTAGGAGAGTTATTTAAAGAGATCAGGATGTTTCTGGTTGTGAAATGCTAACTCTGGGCTTCATCTTAATGATGTAGCAGCTGCTTCACTGACATTTTCATGGTGTATAAACAACTGTGTGTTTCAAAGGGATCCTGCTTCAGTTTTATGCCAGTTGGTTTATTGATCCCCTACTTTATTTTCTTCCTACTTGGTCCAAAATGTCTGCTGTTTGTTTAATGCTGTAAATTTGAAATCATTCCTTAACAGTTTACTTCCTGGCTAATTTCAAGTATTGCAGTTTCATTCATGTTGGTATTGCTTAAAAACCTGAAATGTTTCCATAAGGACAACATGTAGATTTTTTTTTTCTAAGATATTTTCTTAGGGCATTTCCAAATAGCAGATTGTTGATCTTGGAAGTGAGTTCAGCACAGCTCATTTCCATTATCTGTTTTTCGGTGCCCATTATTGGTGCCCTGTCCCCAGATATGTGATATCCTGGGTGTATACTGGCTGGTGAAGCTTTTACGGCACAAAGCTGACTTTTGTGCTGTATTTGGGTATTCTGAGAAATCCGTGGGCTATCACAGGTTTTTCTCGGTTTCCTAGCTGGGGGCATGGTTGATTCCTTTTTATACAAATGTTTTTTTTTTTTTTTTTGTCGAATGGAATTGCAAATGAGTCAAATACTGATGATTATCCGATTCACGTAAGAAACATCAAGTCTTTGCACCTTCATTTTTTGAAAAACTTTGTATATTGGTAGAAATTATCATTTGAGGGTTAATGCTGTGGGAGAGATGATGACTGACATGAAAGCATGATGCCTGAACTCCAAGCATGTCTGACCATTTTGCTGACAGCTCTTATCTGAATATCTACTATAGATCAGATAATTAAGGCTTCTTAGAAGAGAGGTATGTTGAGTGAGAAAATGTTTTAGAACCACATATTGGACTAAACCATTTCTTTGCTTGCTACCTGAAATAATATCACCCTGATTCCTGCAAATGGGGCAGAGTTTTAAAGACTCGAAATGAAATGAATCTGTGACTGGTCCCTCACCTTGACCAGCTGATAGAAGTGTCTGCTGTTAAATTAGGGAATACCATTTATTCGAAGCTTTTATATAAACAGTGTGGTGTTTTCTTATGGCGGTTTTCATGGAAAAGAATAAAATGCTTATGTTGAAGATCTCTCTTGCTCCTGATTCACATGAGGAAGGGATTGCTGAACCCGTATAGCTATTTTGAAGTGAGCATGCGACTATATGAATGGTTACAGTCCAGTTCTAAGTCATTGAGTGATGCTTGTGGTAGTTCTTTTGTTCCATATTGCACTGTGAAAACTCCGATATTGAAGGTAAGATATTAATGTAAATATTTAAGAATCAATTTCAGTCATCGTACAAGGAAACATTTGATGGTCTTTGGATTATAGATCAATGTTGGTGCTGTTGTTACTGCCTCAAGTTTACAGGGGAAAAGGTAGTGCTAAGTCTAGATTTGTTTCTTAAAACCAAATTGTCTGAGGATGTCTCTCAGCAATTGATTCTTTGTTTTGGCATTTTACACTGTACATATAAGACTGAATTGGTTGTTCTGATTCATGTTTTAAATAAGAAAATGACTTTTGGGGGCTGTGAGAATATGAACTGGAATTGATTAAATTGTCAGATTCTGTAGTAGTCCAGTTTTCCTTCTTTCATAGATGATCTTTATTAATGTTTTTTTTTTTTAATCTTTTTTTTGTGTGTGTTAGGGCTCTTGACAGTCTTATGGGGCAGATACCCTATAGTTCTAATAGCCTGAACAAATATTATGCAGTTTAAAATAATCAGAAACAACACGGCGAGTGAAACCAAAGCACTGCCTCACCTAGTACTTGTCTTCAGCAGCAGCCAGTAGTAGTTGCTGAGGGAAAGAATGAGAAGCCATGTGGCTGGACTCCTGGAGTCACTGCTATATATTTTCTGAAGAGACTGTTGGTTTTCTAAAAATGCAGTGAACTGATAAATACGAGAGTAGTCTGTTAGATTTTTGTCAGTGTTTCTTGCAATGTTGTCAGATATTAGCATGTTAACATGCTCCTTTGGCAGCTTATTCATTTCAGGTTGTAATTAATGGTTGACTATGTACTTTAATTTTTTTTCACAAAGCAGTAGGTAGGGAAGTAATTGGTTAAAGGAAAGAACGTGGAAAACTTTATATGTGTGCTTAAGATATAAACTGGATCTAGGGTAAATTAATTGTACTAATTCTTTACAATTTCTTTTTAGCTCCCTTTCCAATCATCAGAGCAGCCTCTCCTCTGCCTCAGTGTTGTCTTCAAGCACATCACATGCAGTAAGTCCTGTTTGCATTTCAACAGATGTTTGGCATGCGGTCATTTTATCTGATGGTTAAGACCTTCTCTGAATGTTCATTGTGTCCCAGGACATCAGGAACTTAGATGAGAGCTTTGTGTCAGGGGAAAGGAAACACTGCCAGCCATCTAGTGGCAAAAAAATTCTTTACTCTTTGTAATTTGTGCCCACTTGTGAATAACTGCTGCAGACACTTGCCCGTTGCACAACTGCAGAGGAAATTTCCATTCTGAACAGGGGGAGGGAGTAAAGTTTTTTCTGTAGCAAATTTATTATAAATAATTTGTAAAAGTGTCTCTCTAAAATTGCTCTAAAATAGATGATGTTAGAAGAATTCACTGAAGATGATAGCTGCCAAAATATGGGTGTTAGCGTGATACGTGAATGATAAATTGCAGATGATATTAAAATTTACCATTTGCTGTCGCTATCACCTGTGTATTTAATGTATTTCAGATGAGATGAGTGGTACTGATATTCCTTACTGTGGTCAGAATTGTTTTGGCTCCTATGTGTTGATGATACTGCTCTGCAATTGTGATCAGCTTACAGTTAAAGCACTGAGTTGTGCTGGATTCAATCCAGACACTTCATACTCACATGTTTCTGTAATATCTCTGTATTTTGGTTTTTGATCCTGTTATAGGGCATTTCAGTTTTAATCTCTTAATTTAATTAGCAAATGTCTTGAAGAAATCTTGATAGTAGTGTCCTATTTTAAAACAATATATTTTGGAAGAACGTAAGAGTTTGTATAAAATTACAAGGGGTGACTTTGAAGTATACGATCAAAGGGAAAGATATAATGCAATGGAGAGACATTTCAGTTACTGTGATACTGTGATGGCCATAGCTGTTTGAATTGAACTATCAGTAGCTGTTTTCTTAGAACACTTAAGAGAAAAAATTGCAAACATGCAACTTAGCTGCTTGCGCTATATTCAGATAATGCGTATAATATTGCACATTCTCTTGTGTGTGCTGCTGCTATTTAAAATTTTTTCCCCCCAGCATCTTCCACTGTGATCACTGTGATATATTTGCTGTGCTCAAAAGAATTGCTCATTCTTTTTGTCTCCTTTCTAGCACACTAGTGTTGAGAATACCACTTCGCTCCAGCCCTCAACAACCTTTTCAACTGCTTCAACCTCAGCCACTAGCACCACCTCTTCGGTTGTCAGCATGGCCAGCAGTATGAATACTACAAACAGCCTTGGCCTGAGTGTTACCAGTGTGTCTATACCAGCTGCTACTACGCGGGCAGCTCCCTTAGTGTCTTCAGGTTTGCAATGTTAACAGATCACGTGGATAGAGGACTTCAGTTTGCAGGGCTGTCAGTCGAACATCTCACCAGCAATAACTACGCTAAGAAATCCAGTCTTCACTAGCATTTTCAGCATGCTTTTTTGCTGGCTTATAAAAATAAACTTGCCTGCTTTTGTGTATTTGAAATATTTGTTAGGGTCTTATGTGGTATTTATATAGTGCATTCCATCTCCAAAGAACTTGATAATTAGACATCAGAGCAACTCTGACTTAGTAAGCTTTGGACTAGTAAATGTGTCCAGTTTGTATTCTAGGCTGTGATTGACTCCTGGTGTGAGATCACTTTTGCTTTAGTTTCAGTCTTCTCTGTGACTTGAATTCATTTGTCAGTATCAAAGTTCACTGCAGTGTCCTCATTATCATACATCACATCCTTACTGACACATTTACAGAAGGGAAAAAATATCTGATGTCTGGGTCATGCCACAGCAAATGCCACTTTTGAAAAGGATATCTACAGAGAACGAAGGTGGTGAAGGCTTCTTGCACTGAAGCGGGAACCATGCTAAATTGCCCTGTTGTTTCTCTAATCAACCTAAACCATTAAAAGAAAATCCTGTGGGTGAAAGTAAAGATTTAAATATTAAAAATAAACTTAAGCATTTCTTCTTTTCCCCTTCCCGCATTTTGTAAGTGAAGCATCTGATGACTGGGAAGACAAAGTGCATTCTCACCCTTCTGCTTCCTACCGCTGCTTCATGGACTGAGGCAACTGAAACTGCCTCAGTCTTCTCTTTACTTTTCCCAGCCGCAATAAGTCATCAATATAAAGTACACTGACAAGATTTAATAATTTCTGTTGATGGGGACAAGGGAGGAATGTGTGGGCGGAGCAAAAGCTAGAGCAGATGGTTTGCTGTTTTAGATTGACAACAATACCTAAATTTTACCTTCAAGGGAGGATCAAGGAAAGGAAAAGTTCCTGTAATTCTTGTAATTCTCTCAGATGAAATTAATCACAAAATCAGACTCTTCTTTAATGGGATTGTTGTTTTCAATCTAAAATAACACGTGCCTTACTTGAGATACAGTTGAACTTCACAGGATGTTTTAACCATTTTAGTAAACTAACACATCTTCTGTGTGACTGTGCTCTTTAGAAGCTGTGGTGTGGTAATGAAGCTGTCAGGGCTTATGGGCTCTGTTGTCTCAAGGCTGAAGCCTTTTTTTTTTTTCCTCTTTATTTCTTTTCCCTTAAAAGTTTTTTAAAGTCTCTGTGTTTTGGTTCTACAGGCAAAGCTCCCCCCAACCTGCCCCAAGGTGTACCTCCCTTGTTGCATAACCAGTATATTGTGGGACCTGGAGGACTTCTGCCTGCCTACCCAGTAAGCAATTTAATTGTACCTGTCCTTAATCACTTAACCCTTGCTACAAGGAGGTCCTCCAGACCTGCTGCTGTCTATGCCAAGGCATTTGTGTTGGCACATTTTGCATCTGGAATCCTTGTTCCAGCTGTTGAAGAATGTGAGATTGGTCGGTGGGAATTTACTGGTGATAGCAAATTTTAAAACAGGCTTGATTGGGCTGTTGTTCAAACTGAATATGTGCTTTGATATGGTTTTCAATGTAATCATGTTTTTGGCTCTTTTGGTCAGTTTTGGTTGGTTGTATGTGCTTTCATTTTTGTTTTTTACTGGAATACATTGGTTGCAGTTGTGCTTGTTGTGATATTTAAAATGTGTTGGGCAATCCTGTCTGTGTTCTTCGAAACACATAGCTTCTTGATGTCCAGTCAAGTTCAGTATATTTTTATTTGCCTGTTTTCTGAATCAGAAGCTTTATTCTAATGTTTTTCTTCATATATCACAGTGAATGTGAGGGATAACTGTGGGCTTCTCTGTGGCCCTCTCACTAAATCCTAAATCATCGTATTGTTGGAAGCAGTGATTGCTTTAGAGAGTGCTGTTGCATTTATTGCCAGATTTGAATGCCCTGTAGATTTTCCACCAGTTAATAAATGACATATCTTTGAAAACAATGAGGACTGGAAAGTTAAATGCTGTTGAGAGGTCTGCTGTCTTGAAAAACAGCATTAGGGTGAGGAGCCATTTTAAGCTGTAGTATCTTTAAAATACTGCAGTGCACTTTGATAGCACAATACACCTTTGCACATCCAAAAGGAGCTATGTCTAGATCAAGCTCAGTTTAAAACCCGGAACAGTTACTGTTAGTGAAAAGTGTTACAATGATGTTGTACTTTTTTCTGTCTTTAAGCAGATTTATGGTTATGATGATCTCCAGATGCTTCAATCCAGGCTGCCAATGGTAAGTAAATGACTTGGCTTTTTCACTTTAAACAAAGATATCTTCAGAGTTGACAATACAAATTTGATGGTGACTGCATATTCTGTTTGGCTGAATTTTTGCAAACAAAAGTTTCTCTAGGTGGTGTAAATGTAAGAATAATGATTTGTTGCTGTGAGCATTTGTCCATTCTTTTAGCAAATGTAGAAGTGTACTTCCTGCTGTTCATTGGAAATTTTTTTTCCTGGATTGCCTCAGCAATATGAAGTCTTTTCAAATATCTTTGAAATCTGAGTATAGGCTCTTCCTCCTAGCAAGGAATAGGGTTGAACAGCAAAGCATAGTATGAAATTGGCAGTCAGTAAGTACATCTGATAGGTTTTGGGTGTTCCCTTTCCATATACATCATGTCAAAAAACACATGAGCAGGTGAGCTTGCAGGGAGAGAGTGTACTAGTCATTCTTCCTTGCCTGAATTCAAAATACGAAATGCATGTGGAGAAGTCAAATGGGATAGAGGAGTGTCCTGTCTGGTTGCTCATCCTAAGGAAGACAGGAAAAAATGAATTGGGGGGTGAAGAGGAAGAGAGAGCACATCCTGGAAGATCTTAACCTGCTGAAGGCATAATTCTTGAAAGAATTATCTATTAAAACAAATGGGATTTTCTTTCAGAGAGGCTGATAAGCAACAGTATATTGGCTTTCAGGCTGGTCAGGCTTCTGAGGATGGTGAACAGATAACTCCTGGTGGAGGTGGTGTGGTACCACAGCATAACACCACAATGCACAGATGGGTTCGGACAAGGTGGGAATATTTTCTAGGGCATCCTGCATGTCCCAGAAAAACAGAAGGTTTGAGGAGTGTGTCACTGGCTAAAGAATGTAAGGTTACAGGGACATATAAAATGTTGGGTCATCCTTGGGAAGGCAGGGCTGCAACTATGAAGTGGATGAAGTGTTTTCTGGCAAGGCTGCCCAGCTTTTACCAGCCTGTGCTTCACATCCGTTAGCTGAATTCTGTGCTGTCTTCTGGGCAAGAGAGCTTTGTACCTGCAGCTAACTCTGAGCCATGCCAGCTGACCATGCTGCTTGGGCATAGGAGTTCACTTCCAAGGGTGCAGGAATTGGTAATTATGAAGGTAATTTACATGTGGTGACAGTAAATGGAGGGGGGAAAAAAAAAGGTTAACTCAATCTAAATCTAAAGATTTTTCTTGGAATATTAAATTAATTATTAAATTTATGCAAATTAGAGTATTCACATAGAAACAGTAGCCTGTAGTCTTCTAAATGATGTTACCTGTACTAAACTCTCTGGAAGCTCAAAACTTTGTAATCTTGAGTCCTCTTTTATAATCGTTCCAATGAAGCAGAGTTTGCTAAATTGTTCAGACATTATGTTTTTAGTAGTACTCTTTAACTCTTCTCTCTGAGATGCTGTGAGGGAAAGGCAAGTGAGGGAAATAGTCAGTCCGGAGTCATTACATATCAGTCCTGCATCAAGCTGGAATATAAAATTATTGTATGACTGTTTCTGAATTCAGCTATGATATGCACCAAGTAGAAATTCTTCATTTAAATTCGTTTGAATTATTCTGTGGACTAAAAATCAAATGAAGAATAGGCAAAAATAATAATGATTCAGCTAGGGTTGAAACTCTTCAAGTTAAAAGAAATGATCAAGTTTAAAGAAATGATTTAGCTAAGGCCAAATTTTCAATTTGAAGAAAAAATTAAAATGAGAAATGTGGTTGGCATCCAATAATGAATTAATGTAAACTAAAATAGTTTTTTAGTACAAAATGAAAATACTTATTGAATTTGCATTTAAAAAGAAAAAAAAGCAATATTTTAAAAGGGGGCGTAATACAGAAGCGGCAAATAGAGAAAATAGCAGAAGAAAATAACAGGGCAAAAATTATATCCAGAAGAAATAAAAACTGAAACCAAAAATGAAAGCATTAGGTTATGAAATAAAGTGGAAATGTTTCATACAATGAAGAACAACAAAACTGTGAAAGAGATAATAAGGTTTGGCTTCAGAAGAAGCTTCATGATTGTATAAATGATAAAATGATAAAAATGAAAAGCTGGCCATATGGTTACTGGGAAGTTATCTGTATGTTTTTAGATGGTCTTATATCGGTCTTATATCGTATACTATATTGGGGGGTTGCAGGAACTTGGAAATAGGTGCTAAGGAACTTTACTGAAAACTTCTTGGGGGTATTTTTTTTTTTTTTTCCTAGCAAAAGTTCTGAAACCTGAAAAAGTTCCAGAGAGAGGAGATAACTCCATGTTGAAATAAAAGCCCTGGCTAAATGAAGACATGTCAACTTGATATCAGTTCCGGAAGAGTAATGAATGGCTGAAAAAAAAAATATAGCAAAGAGTTACTTAAATTGCGATAAAGTTATTAAAAACAAATAAGAGATTCCATGATGAATTAGGGAAATGAGGATATTGGTATTAAAGTGGTACCTCCCCTCATGCCCCACAGGTATCCAAGACTTAAACTTATGGACAAAATATTTGCCTTGATGATCTTAAGACAGGGAGACAGGAAAAAAAGCAAACAGGAAAAAAAAAAAAAAAAGAAGAAAGGACATACTGAGGTTAAGGTGAAACAAAAGAAAAACTGCAAATGGTAAAAATTATAATGGGTTAATATTGGAAAAAATGTTAGGAGTAGACTCTTGGTTCTACATCAGATGTCTTCTCCCGCAAAACAGAAAAGTGACGATAAATATACTTAGGGGTATATGAAATATGTCAGGAAGATTTTACTTAAGACAAGGGGATAAGCTGTACTTGGGCCATGGGGAAGTATTGCCTCCTTAGGAAGTGTAGATGAAGGAGGTGAACCATGCAAGCAAAAATCATGTGCACAGTATCTGTGAGTAGCAGGGATGGAGGTTGGAGAGCTATGGACTTTTCCAGGCTGTGAACAGGGTGGGTGAGTAAACGGTGCTGCCTTTCTTGGAGAAAAACCTAGAAGGCAGGGGGACCTCTGGCTTAGGGCACCTTGGCATCTGGTTAAAGGTGTTAGTAACCAGCAGCGTGTTTGTGATCCCATGCCAGGCCCCCCACTCTTGTGCGGAGTTGTTAGTAAGGTTGGTGCAAAGGAGGTGTTTGTAGGTTTTTACCTGTTATTTACAGTAAAAGCGGACAGTTAAGGAGATGAGGTGAGAACCTTGATGCTATTGGTTTTATATCCTATTGAGAGGAGAAAAAAACTTCTAGAAATACAGCAGCAGTGAAAAGAGGAGCCAGTTGATGGGACAACACACATATAAAGAAAATTTATTAAAATTAAGACAAGCTTTCTTGAATCAGAGAGAGGATACAATCATGATTGGTCAAAATATGGAGTTTCACGTGGCTCGAGTTGGTAAGAAGAGTAGACTTACCTGTGCTGCAGTGTCTGAGAGAGACTGTCAGTGAGTCTACAGTTTCTTAGGAGGAAAGCACTGGTGGTGGCACAAAGGAACTGCCTCTAGATGCCTGTGAGGCGTTGAAGGGGTGGGAAAGGATTTATCAAGTGAAAGCATGATGTGGGTAAAAAAGTTTCTTGTGACTGTTGGGGTCTCTCCATTTTAATAAGGTCACTTTATTACGATGGTCACCCCAAGTTACAAACAAGAGATATTTCTGGATGGCTGTGGAAAGATAAATAAAATATATATATATATAAATACAGGTAAGTCTTCACTGTGATGAAAGAGTCTAAGTCAGTTACTGTAATCTGCTGATTCTGTTGGTAAAAAGAGTCCACAGTGCAAAAGATGAGATGTGCCCCTACAAATGAAAACCTGGACACCTTACAAGGGTGAAGTAGGGATCTCCTGAACTTAAATAAGGTCAGGTGAAGTATCTACAATGTGGGAGGGTTTAAGGTGCTGTGCCCTGCAGGAG